ATTATACTATTAACATATTTAAAGATTTTATTCAAATGCGGGCAATAGGCAGTGCTTTCAAGTTAATAATGAATTGAAACTTGGATCTTTGAAATAATTCTCAGATTAGTGGCATCAGACTTTTAAAAATTAACACACACACATAAATAAAAGTGCTCTCGTCATCAGCTGCTACTCCTAAGTATACCGTGCTGCATTTTCTTCCCACAATAATCAAAGAATCCCAAGCCCAAGAACCTGGGAAGCCTTCCCTGGTAAATCTGGACAGAAACTTACATTTAATTATTTTTGAGTCTTTATAAACTCTTATGCTTGTAGTTCTGCATTTTCATATGAAGATTAGACTACACTTCCTAGTCTAGATAACCTCTTCTTCAAACTAGCCAATACTGAGGTAGAAGCTAGTGTTCTCTCCTTATGGTAAATAGCAAGTACCTTCTATGTAGTATATATCATAGATATATGTAGTATATATCTACAGACACACCTATCAAATCCCTGAAGAGCTTTGAGTAAACTGGCTTATTTCTTTTTGACAAATTTCAGATTAGTTTAAATTTTGTTTCTCTAAAGTGTGGATACGGTCATTTTGATTCTTTGATGCACTAACACAATGTATACCAGCCAACAATAATTCATTTTTAAATTAATCATGGTTTTTATTGGTTGCTACAAAATTCCCCAGATCTTCTACAAATGAATTGACTTCACATCAGGCATGAATAAAATTTTTATTTCACACTTTCTTAGAAGTTACACATGTTTCAGTAGAAGGGCATGGGGGAGGGGTGAAGAATATGATTCTTTTTGACAAAGCCACATTGTACTTAGAAAGAGTGGTTATATACCATTACACCTTTGAAAATACCCAGAGTTTACCGGCAATGTAATATAATACTGTTGTGTGCAGCAGAAAACAAAAGAAGGTAAGCTAATGTGTTTTCTTTTCAAGGTTGGGTGAAAAGATTTAAAGTGTATAAATTGTCATTCTTTGTGACTACCTTTTAGATTTCAGTTGTGCTTCTTAAAACTTCTACAGGTACTTAAACCAGATGCTGAGGAACTTGTCTCCAGAAGCTACTGGGATACATTGAGACGTAATACAAGCCAAGCACTGTTTTCAGACCTCGCAGAGGTATAATTAAACCTCGACCAGGTCGTTGTATTATTTGCCATTTTGTTAATCTCGGCCTTGTTTTATTTTACAGTCATAATGATGGAGCCAAAGATATATTTTATCTTTTTCCTTTCCTCCAGTAAAGCAGCTATTACCATGTGTTAGTGGTGTATTTGAGTATGTCAGCTATGCTGGCAGAGACTGCAAGATCACCTGTATCTATGTTAAATCAACTTGCTTGTTGTAGAAAACATGACTTTTCCAACTTAATTTAAAAAAAGTATTGTTTTAACTTAAGAAAATTTGAAAATGCTGTTTCATAGTTTCACAGATTCTTCTAACCTTATAACTTGCAATATTTCATGAAATGATGAAACTTAACTTTGGTAAAAGATAGCTAATTGCTAGAGTTATGGAAGATTTAAACAATTAAGTTTCCTAATATCAATAGAGAGTAGCTTAGTGTGGAGCAGGTATGGTAGGAGCAGTCAAGGAAGGGAGAACATTTCCTCTTGACATTGTTTATTGCGTGGAAAATAAAAAGCACACCAACTGTTATTCATGCTGGTTTTGAATTTTATAGAGACACACACCTTATTGCTGCACTCAGACTGCTCTACCACCCCGCTCTGATTATGCCGCTGTTCATAGGGATTTGTCATTTTAAAAGATGGGCTGTGTCTTGTGGATTAAACACTAATTTATGTTTTTTAAATCATCTTTTTCTTGTTGACTTGAGAGACAGAAACATCAGTTTGTTGTCCCACTTATTTATGCATTTATTGGTTCATACGTGTTTGTGCCCTGATCAGTGATTAAACCTACAACCTTGGTTCGATCAGGACGTTTCTCTAACCAACTGAGCTACCTGGCCAGGAGTTATTTTATGGTTTCTATTGAGATTTTTTAAAGAACTTTAGAGATGGCTATCATCTTACAACAAAGGACTTTTCAGTAAATACTAACAGATATATCTCTCATTAGCTTTTTCTTTGTAAAGTTGATTTCTCATTTCTTTTTCTAAAGTTTGACTTTTAAAAGTTACACCTAAAAATATCTAGAGAAGTAAACTGGATTAGGTGTAATTTCTGTTATTTATATATACAGTGTTACTCAAATACCTTTAGACTAGGGCAAACACTTAGAAATGTTCGTTTTTTGTCAGTTATGTTCAATTTTAAAGTCCCAAAAAAATAAAGCTTTTCCCCATCTCTAAACTGTGTTTGATATATCAATATGGTATAATTATGGTGAGCAATTACTCTTTTAAATTACCTTTTAAATTCGAACTATTTTTAGGCATGAAGTGGTAATAGACGTTCCACTTATAGATAATTTAGAGGTACTTAGTTCTAATCATCTGTGCAGACACACATTGGAAGTGCTTAATTCTGTGATCATTTGTGCAGGCACAAAGCGAAGGCACTACTGTGAGCCTTTACTTTCCAGAGCCTAAAAGTAAGAACCACTTGGGACACCAGCCCTTTGAGCCTCTATGAGCCACTGTGGCCTCGCTTCTAGTCAAGTCTAGTCAAGTCACTGTTGTCCCTCCCCGTTCTAGTCTGACCACCTCTCAGCCTCCAGCCTATCTTTAATCTCATTTAACTCTTTTAGAAAATCTCAATTCAACACAATCTGTGCATTAGATGTTGAATTTAATTTATATCCTGGAGGTTAGTATCAGAAGACCAGGAAACTCTTAACGTACACTCAAAAATTGTAAGTGATTATAGGTTGTTTTGAAGGTGTTTATCACTCTGGCAGCGGTGTGCTGGAGCTGGTTTTTTGGCTTCCCACAGCTAGTTCTGCACAGCTCTTCCTAACTCATCATCCTGTTAAATCTCGTTGGTACCTTGAAAATGCCAATGATGGGAGTATTAATACCATAAAATGGGCAAACACCACCCATTGGGCTTTTTGTCAGGAGCACCAGTTTACTAGCACACTGTTGGCTGTAGCCAATCCACACTATAATCAGCTTATGCTAAATTAATGAATGAATTTATTCAAGCATCATGAAAGTAAATCTTATGGAGAAGAGAAAGTAGAAAAGAAAACAAAACAAGCTATATTCCAAAGGAAAATAATTATTTGGGGATTGTCTGTTACCACCTTCCCATATTAGAGAGGATAACAGAATTAACTATGTTAAGTTACAACTCATTCTAATTCCTTATAGGTGACTACTGATGCTGGTGTAACACTGACTTGTTTATAATATCAGTATTTCAGGATTCAAATTGGTTCAGAAAGAAAGCTTAGAAATCTATTTTTATTTCTTTGTTTCTTGTATATTTAAAATGTAAATCTTGAGATAAGCATTTTTCTTCAAATATTGTAGGTAAATTTGAGATTAGCCTTTCATATTCTTATGCCAGAGCTGTTTCTAACAAGAGATGATTTTTCAATTATAGTAAAACCATATTATAATGAAAATTTAATATGCCACAGCTAACACTACTTTCTAACCAAAATAATAGATAATACATTTACGTAAGCCTCTCAAACAACTGTTGAGTACAGTTTGAATACCAAATTATAAAAACTATTTTGAGTTTTATAGATGAAATTAAAAATTTTTTGTTTGCTCTAAACTTTACCCGTCCTTACTAAATTTCAGTAGGTTATTCAGAACCTCTGCCTACAGTCCCTCCAGCCCTGGGACAGAGCTTGGTAAGATCGTCACACTGGAATCAGTAAAAATATGTTGAAATGATATCCTTAAAACTCTTTCTTTTAATAGTTTGATATTTTTATTTCATGCAAATTTACTAATTTATTTCATTTTTTATGAAACCATTTAAAGTAAGTTTTCATCAAAACAACGTTAGATAATGGCCTTTCATGTAAATGACCCCTGGGGTTCTTTTGTGGCAGTTTCTTGCTTTCTTATGAAAACACCTGAATTCATTTTAGTTGAACAATGAGCACAGAATCAAAGGGATGAAGTCTCTATTTTTGTCCCAGCCCTCCTGTGATGCCAGTTATATAACATTGTTAGGCTACCAAGGACGCTGGTATAGTTTTCAGTGACTCCCAACAGTACTCCGTTTCATTGAAGGGGGGCAGTTTTCACCATTCCCATTTTCTAATTTTTCTCTCTAATGTCAAACTTTTACTTATGCCTCTGTGGCTCTGGATTATCTGGATAAGTGCAACCTAAGTCTAATAAGATTTTCATGATGAAAGACTGTAAATGAAGATCCGCTGTGCTCTGTGGGCATGAGAAAAACTGGCTGAATGAGGTCATTATTTAAACCTGTGTAAAACAAAGCCATCTTATTCCCGTGTGTTAGGTCTCGAGGTAAAGGACAGCACGGCACTACAGAAAGCATTCCATAATGTGTTATCTGAGTTCACCAACTTTGGGTCTTTCTGTAATCTCTCATTTTAAGGCATCTTTTTTTTCAGATCTATATAATATTATATGTGTAGTTTCAATAACAAGTTAAAGTGTACCATGTAAAAATCTTTTTTTTTACATTAAGCTTCAACATTATTATCTTTTCTATCTAAACTTCTAAAAATACATGGATTTAGCCAAAATAATAATAGCTAACACTTATTGGGCCTTTACAATATGCCAGTTAAAGTGCTAAATGATTTACATGTGTTATCTAATGCAATAATCCTTTATAGTAGACTGGAGGCTCAGTGCACAAAATCCATGCACTGATAGGGTCCCTAGAGGCTGCTGGCCCAGGTCTCCCTCCCTTCCCCTAGCCACTTCCTGGTCGAACTCCCAGACGAACTCCCAGTCGAGGGGACAATTTGCATACTACGCTTTTATCATATAGGATACTTTGTTATTCCTGAGGATAATATCCTCAGAGAGACTAACTTCACCACAGTCACTTAAACTAATAAAGAAAAAGTCAGGACTCAAAGCCAGACTCTGACTCCTGCGCTTCATCGTATTTGCTCACCACACTACTGCTTATTTGTGAAGTAAACAGCTTTCTAAAGCACCAACCCTCCTCCTCTGACCTATTTTGTCCTTCCACATTCCGTTCTTTTAGCTTCTACATGGCTACCCCAGTTCTTCATGCTGACTTCTGATTGGCTAGGTCTTTCACTCTTATGCTCTTTTTAGGCATGCCTTCTCAAATATTTCCTTCTCCTACTAATTTAAGCTGTTCTGTGGGTAATAAACTGATTAGACTTGATTGTATACTATCACAAAAAAAGTCTATAATAAACATGAGATATCTTTCCTGCCACTCCCCTCAAGGTCTTATGCTTTTTCTCAAAGCATCTTATGGCTGCCAGTCAGAATCTTTGTATATTTCTTTTAAACACATATTCTAATTTTATCCTCATAATTGTTATTATAGATAGAGTTATTCCCATTTCACAGAAAAGGTAGTTGAAAGTCAGAAAGCCAGTGAACCCAGGTCATCTGATTTTAAATCCTGCCGTTTCCATTCCAGCAGTCTGCGTTCTCAACCTACAGCTACTGGTGAAGTAGTAGTCCCTTTTGAGCAGTACTCAAAATTACACTAATCTGCCATATATGGAGCCCTGAAAAGCTGGCATCACTAATCCTATATAATAAAGAGGTAATATGCAAATTAACCCTCACACCCTCACAAGAGGGCTGCCTACGACCAGGCCGGCAGGGGGGTTAGTGAGGGACGACCAAACGACTGAACAGCAGGCTGCATGGGTTGACCAGGCCGGCAGGAGGCCCATGAGGGGCAACCAGGCTGGCAGGGGGGAGCAGCCGGAGGCACCCAGGTCATCAGGAGGAGTAGTTGGGGCAACCAGGCAGGCAGGCAGGTGAGCGATTAGGAGCCAATGGTCCAGGATTGTGAAAGGGATGTGCAGGATCGGGCCTAAACCAGCAGTTGGACATCCCCCAAGGGGTCTTGGATTGGAGAGGGTGCAGGCTGGGCTGAGGGGACCCCCCCATGCTTGAATTTCATGCACCAGGCCTCTAGTATGGTATATTTAAAAGGTGGTATATGACACCTGTTTTTTGGGCTGTGTTATTTTCCCTCTAGCAATCAGATCTTCAGAGATGTTGGTTGTACCGCAGGGAACTTCTTGATTATTCCAGCTCCTGAGAATATTGGGACTACTTCTCAGCAAACTAAGTTGAGAAATAGTAGAGATCTTCTACACCAATTAATAAGGAGTTATATGCTAGAGGTCATTTTGAAAAATTCAAACTAAATTACTTAAATACAAATAGATTAGATTACTGAGAATGTCAACAATTTTAGATCATATAAAGCTGAAGGTATCCTACATGTTGGAGTTTTTAGAGAGAGAGGAGTAATCAGTGTAGCAGAGAAATCACTTTAGAAAAGGTGTCATGGATTCAAAGCGGGCATACTGGAGGGAAGAGTATAACCCCATACTAGTCTTTAGAAAAGAATAATATTTGGTTTAGGGAGAAATGAAATAAAGATCCTATACTAGTAAATGTTATGTAGGATAAAATAGCTATCTTCATGAAAGAGGGCTATAAAGAATCAAAGAATTACCAAAATTTAGAATGTGGAAGAAGAGAAAAGGACTGATCCTTTGTGAAAGAGTATATGCTTTCTGTTTCCTATGTGTGTGTTTTTTATGGAGTACTTATTGTCAGGGTTCTGGCCAAGAAGTAATACATTTCAAATATGTCCCTTTTAATAGAGAAAATGGTAGTTATTATATAACTCTTAATTTGCAGTATAATATATGGGAAAGGTACAGTTATGTGAAATTTATCATTTTTTACCTGAATTTCTAAGATAGGTATGAGTTAATGGCCAAATGAAGAAGGAAGGGAAGAAAAAGAAAGGACTGGAACAGAAATGGAAGGTGGGAGGAAAGGAGGGATGGTGGGAGGGAAGCAGGGGAAAGAAAGGAAAAACCTATAAAGCTACCTAAAAGGAAATAATGAAGATTTTCCACAAGCCATTGAACTTTATAAGGACTATAATTAAGCTATTTTAAGAATACACTTGTTGGAACTTGGTTTATCAAGTTGAATGGGAAAGGAAATACCCTCTGGAATTTTTCAAAAAATGTAAGACTTTTCTTTGAAAAAACTGTAGATGATGTAAATTTCAAAGTATTACTAGTGTAGTTTCTATTCCAAATTATAGTATCTTCTACCTAAATTACCATAAATATGGAATACAGTAAAGTACTATAGTCTAAGTTCTTTTGTAAAGCTTGAGACCATTTCTTTGTCAGCCCCATATGTTCTATACATCTGAAGACTGTATCTATTTTGAACATCCTAAAAAAAAAGGATTTTCATGTTGATTAAGAAAATTCCACTATAAATTACTTAAGTACAAATAAACTATTTAGGTGATTACTAAAAGAGTTCAACTAGTTTAAATAATTTAAAATATAGGTACCTTTTTTGCATAATTTGAGGTAGGAAACTTCCTAAAATATATAATCATGTCTTTAAAAATTTTTTAGGATAAAGATAGGTTTTGTTCATATTTCTATTTTCTAATTTTGAACTTCATTTTAACTGTAATGGCATTTATTAATACAGTCTTACACTTTTCATTCTAATGTTAATATACTTATATCCTGGATATTTATATGTTGATAAAATTCTTTGAGAGATATTGAGTATCCTCTGTTTGCTCATTACAGCTAACCTTTAAATTGTGATTTTTTTTTAAGCGTGCTGATGACATTATGAGTTTGGTAACAGATACCACACTTCTTGTACACTTTTTTGGAAAGAAAGGAAAAGCTGAGCTCAACTTTGAAGATTTTTATAGGTGAGCTTAATTTTTATATTTGTGTTGAAAAAAAATGTTAACATGCTAAAGTCAGAAACACCTAGTGCAGTGATACCTTTTCTCTGCTTTCATCTTAACTTGAGGTACTATGTCTAACAAATATCCACTTCTGTGAGTACCTTTATACCAGTGGTTTTATTGATAAGAATAATAGGAAATTACTGAATGATAAAAAAAAATGTGTGGATATCTGGATTGTTATTTCCTATACATTCAGAAGTACTACAGTCAACACTACACATCACACATTAACTCCTTTAAGTCTCATCACTACCCTGCAAGGTTTTTTGTTATCCCCATTTTAGTGATGCAGAAGCCAAAGCCCTGAGAGGCTGAGTGCCATCTGTTACCATCAACACTCTTCATTTATCTTATTCATTCTTTACCCATTCTTGTCATAGATTCATGGATAACCTCCAAACAGAAGTTTTAGAAATAGAATTCCTTTCCTACTCTAATGGAATGAATACCATCAGTGAAGAAGATTTTGCTCATATTCTTTTACGATATACAAATGTGGAAAATACATCCGTATTTTTGGAAAATGTGCGTTACAGTATAGCTGAAGAAAAGGTATCTAATACCCTATTTTTACTTTATTACATGTGCTATTATCTTGTAATTATATAAGTCTATAAATATATTGTTCTTTGTTAGTTCTTTTGTTCTGTGAATTAATAGATACTTTGAATATTTTTTTCCTATGTGTCCTAAGTTTTCTGGCTAAATTTTAAAACTGGCTTAATTTAAAATTCTGGGTAGGTATTCATATTTTTCTTAGATATGCTAAAAACCCATAAGGTTGTTAACAATTATTTTATTCAAATTATGAATATCATTTTTCAAGAGAATTCTGCTGAACTATAGGCTGTGACTACTATATAAACATCACCTCATACAAAGCAGTTTATATTGACATCAGTCACACCTGATTCATTTCTATAACATCCTTAGTAAAAGGTCATTTGAAGATGGCCATTGGTGAGTGAATGATCTTATCAGCAGTTGAAGTGAGGTTTTTCAAAGAGTTTGGATGGCATGAATGGTTAAGGACCTGGAACAACTGATTGTCTATTTGTTTAGTAGCAAGTGTTTTGTGAGCAATTCTGTGCAGTTGTGCATTATCTAGTGGTATTTGAATGCATCGTTGCAACCAAATAGAACTGGTGTTACAAGCACCCCGTCAAGCATGGGATGTTTTGGATATATTGCCTTCTATTTGTGTTTGTAGAAGGATCAAGATAATCTATCCAAGAAAGACTTGCAAATAGTTTGACTTTGTATAAAATGGATACCTGGTGACAGTGCTAACAATTCTCCAGGAGAAAAAAGGACTCGATGTATTTGGCCATTAGTTTTACATAATCTCTCAGTTAGGGGTCTTTTATCAGTTTTACATGTTAAACTGATTTTTTTTTTGATTCATAGACACTTCCCTAAAAATAAATATTGAAATTGTATTATGTCAAATTACTAGGGTATTTTTAGGGTCTTAAAGAATCCTACAGTGCTGAGGAAGGTGAGGGAAACCTGATCCCATGTTGGGCCTCTTCACATTGCTGCTGACCAGTAAATGGTATCTTTGAGAAAAAAAAGAGAAAAAAAGAAAAACAGTGAATCTCTCCAATGATGTCCCAAATTTGATGATCAAACCCTTTGAGAGTGCTAGGCAGTTAACTCTAATATGATGAAAACTTCTGCAATGGGGGGAAAGATCCCGGGGTGTCAGAACCTGAAAGCATCTTAAAGCGATCACCTATCCAATCCCATCCTCGTACAGTCAAGAAAACTACGGCTCAAACTGGTGAGGGCACCTGCTAGTTGGGGAGGAATTAACAGTAGAGACGTTATGATTTCCCAGTCTAGTGACTTAAGGACCTGCTTTAACAATCACTGCACCAGGCCTCTAGAAATGTATATATTGATACACATTATATGGTGTCCCCAGATTCCTTAGGCTCTGTGCATTTTTCTTCATGCTTTTTTCTTTCTGCTCTTCAGATTGAATAATTTCAATTGTCCTGTCTTTAAGTTCATTGTCTCTTTCTTCTACTCACTCAAATCTACTTTTGAACCTCTAGTCAGTTTTTCATTTCTGTTACTATACTTTTCAGCTCCAGAATTTTTTTTTTTGGTTTCTTGTTTTACAATTTCTATTTAATTATTTTGTTAATACATAGTTTTCCTGATTTCCTTTAGTTCTTTGTTCATGGTTTCCTTTAGCTCTTTTGAGCATATTTAAGACAATTTGTTCAAAGTCTTTTTCTTTTTAGTCCAGTGTCTGAGCTTCCTCAGGGATGGTTTCTGTTGACATATTTTTTCTATTTCTTTATACTCATTGTAATTTTTGCTAAAAACTAAACATTTGAATATTATAACGTAGTAACTCTGGAAATCAGATTCTCTTCCACAGTTCATTTGTATTCTTTGTCATGTACAGTTGCTAATGATTATGTTCCATTATCTTAGTGGTTAGCCAGAGAACTGATAGAAATTTTCTTAAATGCCCAGAGCCAGGAAGAAAATAGATAGTATTCTCCCTGAAAGTATTGACATTTATATTTACAATTTGCTTAAAAATATCCCATCCTCCTGTTTTTCACTTTTACATGTCACCCTGAGACAGAGACTGTTGCTGTGGCACTGGTCGCAGCATACACTGATTCAGAGCCAGAGCAGTGAGCAGTTTCCCTGGCAACAAGCTCTCCACAGCAGGACCAACCCCTCTGGCTCCATCTCCCTAATTGATTCGAATGGTCCCCCTGGAAAACATGACAGGTGGGATTGGGTCACAAAGCAGAATTCAGGTTTGGAACAGCCGACCCTGAATGTAAGAAAAGAGAAAGAGAAAAATGTGAAGAGACAGTGAGGATTCTCCTTGCAAATAAAGAGGGATTGTAATTAAAGTGGGAATAATGTATATAAAACTTTGATAAGAAACTTATAATAAATATTATTTTGATAATAAACCACTTAATCAGTAGTTGGCTTGCATGAAAATAGGCTCTTCTGGTTTTTGCTCTAGCTTTCCAGTGCAGCCTTCTTAGTATGCCTTCCCCTACATTCAGGTCAGAATTGGTTAAGCCTAAGCTCTTGGCCCTCGCTCTTTTCAGTTTACTTTTTCTTTCAATCACATTAATTTACTGAGTAGAACACTTAATTAAATGCAGCTCTTGATGCCCAAATTTGTATTATCTGAAATATGTGGTACTCATTTTAAATAACTTCCCTATTTAACTCAATTAATAGTAGTGGCAATAATTGTAGCTTATGTAAATGACATGCCAGGGTCCTGTCCATGATCACACACCAAGCCCTGCATCAGGCCTCCCTGAGCTGTACGTACAGTCACTATGCTTCCTCCTGCTGTGCTGGCCATGCTCTCGCAGCAGGAGCAAGTAAAAATACACTACTGTTGGCTTGTTTTCATTGTCATTATAAAGATATTGATGATCATCATACAATGTTAAATTATATTTAATGAGTATATGTACAGTGGAAATTTTTTTAGGTGTCTTTTTAAAACTATTCTTTTTTCCTTCATCATCATATTTACTTTCAGGGTTTAAAAAATTCAGGCCTGCTATGCAGAGTTTTTGAAATTGAAGCTTTTCTATCCATTTTCATTGTAGCAATTTTTTGGAACTTTGTGCTGATATGAGAGTATTTTTAAAATATTTTCACCTAACATTGCTAGTGGTAGCAACACTGCCAAGTAAAAAAAAAAAATCTGAGTGAATTTTACATTCCATATGGAGAAAGGTTTCAGAATGTGCCCTAGAAATGTTGACTTGCAAGTTATATTGCACATGCTTAGTCTATTTCTTTCTAGTAAGTATAGGCATTTATTTTAATAAATTTGGCCACACTAAAATCTATTTACATATATTTTCTCAATATAGGGCATCACATTTGATGAATTCAGGTCATTTTTCCAGTTTTTGAACAACCTAGAAGATTTTGCAATAGCCTTGAATATGTATAACTTTGCAAGTCGTTCTATAGGGCAAGGTAAGTAATAATCTTTCAAAAATTAAAAGCAAAAAATAACCCTACGTTGTTTCTAGGGACTTTGACAGCAAATTAATTAGATATAATAGCATATTAGCCATCAGTTGCCTGAAAGTTTGTTGTGTTCTTCAATGGGAAATCTGTTTTCCCTAAGCAGAGTTTAGGGAAATAGGCTAAATATTTGTATAACAATATGCAATATGCAGATGATGTATTGTAGAATTATACACCTAAAATCTATATAATTTTATTAACCAGTGTCACCCCAATAAGTTCAGTAAATAAACAAAAATGTTATTGCCCTTCATTTCTTACTATGGGGGGAAGCTAATGATGTTTGTAGAAGTTCAAAGAGAAAAACACCTCATGACTGCTTGGTAACATTGAAGGATGTGTGTCTACTTATAGAAGAGCCAGGTAGTCATGCCTCAGCCATCATCACAGGATGATGAATGTTACCCACAATCCCTGTGGCTCAGAAACCTGAATTTTGTCAACAAATGCCCCCTCTTAGCTATGGACTCACAGTAACCATGTTTTAAGAATGGTATGTAAAATTGAATGTCAATTTTGCTTAATTTTACAAAGAAATACAGCTGTCATAGAATCCAGTGCTGTTGACCTCAGAACCAGCTCTTTCTTTCCCTGTAGGTAGACCAACAAGTCAAGTCCTTTTCTAGAATTCTATGGCCATAACTACTCTCCTTTCTTCCCTCATGGCAATATCCTTTTTAAATATTCTTGCCATACAAGGACTTTCTGATTTGACCTGTGTCTGCCATAATCCATTTTCCAAATGTAACCTAAGGGGACAGAACTTATTGTTTTATTGCCAAGCTCCAGGGAGAAGCCAAACTGCAGCCCATGAGCACTAATAATGATTATCTCTCTCCCAAAAGCATGGAGATTGAGTCCCTCATGTGGCTTCACTCATTTATTCATTGAGGAAGAAAAACCTGAAAATTTGTCATTTTACCTTTGGTTTATTCTAGATGTTCAAATAGGGCATCTTCTCAATTCAACCCATTTTCATGAAGGAACCCAGCCATTCCAGACTAGCGTTTACTACCATGATAAAACTACTAATCAACCACAAGAGAAAAAACAGTCTGGTTCAGAATGGACAGTTACTGTTTCACTTTGTGGAACTGGGAAATGGAAAAAATCGATTGTGTACTTTTGCAGGTGCTAGGAATATATCTATCTCTTTATTTTCTGTTGTCACTGCTAGCACCTTAATTCAGGTTATTATTACCTCTTAAAAGGATCTGGTATTCCTGCCAATACCCACATCCCTCTCCAATATTTCCTAGACAACTCAGAGAATAATCTTTCGAAAACACTGATTAGCCTCTCTACATGCCTGCTATGGCTAAAAATCCACTTTAGTTCCCCAGCTGCCTGTTGAAGAATATACAGGTTCCTCACCTCAGAGTCCCTGTACAGAGCTTCTCCAGCTCTTATATGTCCAGACTGCTCCTTGTTTTCTGAATATGTTTTATACCCTCCTGAACCCTCCATGCCTTTGTGCATGTCATCTCCTCTGCCATTTCTCTCATCTCTACAAGCTGAAATCTTCTATCCTTGGGGCTCAGCTCAGATACAAAATTGCAGCTTTTTCTAATCACTGCTCTTCTCTCTCCTTTC